AGATTTTTTAAGAATTTACTATTTGAAATTTCTAAAATTCTTATTCATGGGTAATTATCACATATTTCAACCCAAATTTTTATTTGGAAAAGAATACAATTATTTGTATTGAAATTTCATCTAAATTATTGGGTTCTTTAGCATGTCTCGAGACATGCAAACGACTTAAAACGCGGCTCGAGGAAAATCGACTCGGCTTAGCAGTAGGGTTTGTGGAGCGAGTTGAAATGGGTCAGCGCTCGGGTCGGGTTGGTTGAATGAAAACGCATGGATCCTAATAAGTCTCTTAAACACAAAACAACGTCGTTTTTAGGTGATATAAAAGGCAAAAGCTTTCGTTTTTCTTCATATGCCTCTTTTCCTTCTCTCTCTCTTCCCTTCTTTTCTCTCCTCCTCTCTCTAAAAACCTAGATTTTCGATTGAATATTTCATTGGAAACTGGAAAAAGCAACCATAAACTAGAAAATCTCGTCAAAAAAGATGAATTTTGTCGAAAAATTGATCGAAATCTGAAATTTTTTTCAAAAATTTTCCAAAAAAAAAAACACCAAAAATTATGAAAAATTCATAAAAATCCTAAAATTGCTTCTGACACCTTTCAAAAATTTTTTAACTCTTACCTTCTGTTTTTTGCTCTTTGTTTCATAGATTTAATCTGTGTCCAAGCCTATATTTATCAATGCCAATTCCTTCTGTAATCGGGATTCAATCCTTGAGTCCAATTTCAATATTTCCAAACCACAATTCACGGTAAATTTTTCTCTTTTTTTGTTTTTTTTTTCATTATCTTCTAGAACAAAAATTATATTAAAAAATAATAATTAAAATAAGATTCAGAACAAATAACCCAAAAATATAAAAAATAAAAATAAAATTGGGCCAATTTATCCTATTTAAAACAAACCCAATTGATTCGAGCCTAGACCAAATTAAATGTCTACATCAACGATCTTTTGGTGTAGATGTCATATTACTATGAATTTGGGCTTACGAGATTTTCGCATATTAACTGACAATTTCCGCAACCATGTCTTTCATGTTAAATCCTATTTCATTCTTAATTATTAGAAGACAAAAAAAAAAAAAAACTGTTCCCATATAGGTTTTCTACTTGACACACTTGTGCAGTGGTTCATTGTTCAACTACCTTCCCATTCTTTATCATAGCTATGGAATCTGCCTTGGACAATCGACGAGCTACAACTATACAACACAAGTTCTTCTAATTAACCATCATCTTGTCTTTTGCTTTTCGGACTAGGCTCTCTGACTCGCTATCAAGGGCACTGGTTGCCTCATCTAGGAGAACGATCATTGGGTTCTTTAGCATGTCTCGAGACAATGCAATCCTTTGCTTCTGGGTTCTGTTCTCCCGATAGCTGAACTCGATCCTCTTTCACCACAATAAGAGCCATATCCATTTTTCATAGAACTGCATCATGAGATAAATGAATTCCTCTCAAAGAAATGACAAAAATGGTATATGTAGTTTTGTAGTTGTTGAAGGTTTAATCTAAACAATGAATACCTTATAAATTCATGAGCCTTGGGTAGGATTGCATTCTTCCTTACTTCCGCTTCTGTAACTTCCCCTTTCTGTGAGCAAATGTTCTAACGGATAGTTCCTGCTCCTGACTTACTAATGCAATATATATGTGATGTCAAATGACTCAAGTTGTAGCTCTTGATATCGTATTTATCTGTCAATACGGATCCACTTTGCGGCTCATAAAATCTTTCGATCAACCTTATAATTGTAGATTTCCCCAATCGATCAACTCTGTTCCACAAGTGCCAGTTGGATTGGCCTGTAAAGATCATTTGGTTCGGCCTTGCTGGGTAAGAAAAGAATACATCCTTCAATTCAATCTGCCCTTTATTAGTTTCCTCAACTTCAATTCCTTTGTGATCTTCAGGGTCAGTCTCACACCTATCCAGAATTGCAAAGAATCTTTTTATGGCACGACTACCTATAGCTAAATCACAAGTCATGCTTCCTGTTTCTGCAATATTTTTACCAGTACTCATCAATATAAAGAATGCATTGGCGTCAATAGTCCTTGATTTATTAGTCTTCCACCCATAGCGGAAGGTTACTGTTATAGAGGCTGTTGTAAGAAATTTGGAGACCAAAACCAGAAATATATCCTTGTTTGATGCTCTGCTGTCGGGGCCCCCTCATTGTTACTCCGAAGAGATGCAATATCCTTTTTTAAGAGGAAAATACGTAGCTTCACTTGCTGAGTGGCTTACCTTATTTTGTGCTTTTGAGATATACTTTCCATTAGAACACTCCTAGAATAGAAGCTCCTAATGGCAATCATAACAATGGCTACCCTCCATGCAAAGAAAGATGCTGGGGATTGGGGAAGCACTAAAGAAAACCAGAACAAGTAATGACATACGATCTGCAATAAATAAGCGAAATGTGCTGGCTTCAGTAGATAACCATGCAAAATTCGCAGCACTCGAGTTTTCGTCTTGATCAAACCACCCAATCTCAAAGGTGAGAACTTTTGCAAGTGTTTTTTTTAATCGGAACAACCCTTTTTACTAAGCATTCTCCCATGATTGCAAAACTTAGTGAAACAACAAAAAAAGAACACCCGAGTCTTCAAGCGATCATGCATTCCTTTTTATTAGATTCTTTTTATCCTATTTTACTATAAAAATGATAAATTTGTAATTATTAAATTTTTGTACAAAAATAATTACTCAAAATTTTAAGTGACCTACTTAATTTAGGTTTGGAAAAATATATATTTGATTTACTGTAAGTATATAAACATTATACATTGATAGTGAATCACACAATAACTTTGCACAAAAAAATAATTTTAAATATATTTTTAAGATTAAGTGTATTTACTTTTTAAGTTTTAAAATTTTAAAGTTATTTTTTTATAAAATATCATTAGGTAATTTATTAACAATGTTATAATAGTTATACACTAACAACATATAAAATATAAGCTAAAAAAAATACTAAATTGAGGTGTGCATAAAAAATACAACAACAATAAAAAACTATGCTTTATATCTTTTAAGTCTAGAGTAGGCTATACAAAAGACCCAAAAAGAAATTATATTAAGTCATAGTTTTGAATCTTTTTATGTTACTCATTTCTATCATAAACAACTTTTTCATCTATTTCCTTCACCTTCACATAATTTTCAATTATTTATTTTCACATTTTTCATGATTTAACTCTAGATGTTTTGATCTCTCTTAAATCTAAAAGCTCATTTTTTCTAACTGGTGCACATATAAACCTATGTTTCATATGTCAAAACCATCTCAAATAGCACTTTTTTATATTTTTCTTAATTCATACTACCCTTAATTTTTTTGAAAACTCTTCATTTCCAATTTTGTCTGTTCTAATCTTACGACACATCCATCTAAGTATTTTCATATCAGTTATACTTATTTTCTTCTCATGTTGTTTCTTACTGCTCAACACTCAATTTCACATAACAATACAATTCTTATAGTTATTTTATACAACTCCACCTTTAACTTTAAAGGCGATCACACAACACACTTGACACATTTTGCCACCTCACCCATCTTACTTGAATCTTATGATTTACATCACTTTCTATTTCAACATTGCTTTGAATAATTGATTTCAAATATAAAAAATGACTACTTTTGATATTATCTTACAATCCAACTTAATCACACTAGCACTCGTTTCTCAATAATCACTAAACTTACATTTCATATATTGAATTTTAAATCTACTTAATTTAAAGTTTCAAGGCTCTAGCGTATGTCTCCATAATTCTAATTTCGTATTAAAATCATCACTAGTTTTAATAACTAAGATTATATCATCGACAAATAACATATACCATGGCATCTTATCTTTAATATGTCCAATGAACTCATCCATAACTAATGCTAAAAGAAATAAACTTAGTACTGAACCTTGATAAAATTCTGAAGTAATGGGAAAGTTATCAATCATGCCTCAAAACGTCCTTACATTCATTACAACTTTTTCATACACATCTTTACCTATGTTAATGTACGTTAAATGAACTGTTTTCTTCATTAAGACCCACTAAAGTACCTTTAAAGAAATTAAATATTTTCTCTAAATCAATAAATATTATATGTAGATCTTTCTTTCTCACTTGAAAACCCTTTAACAAAATCTTTCATATGTGAATTACCTTTATTGTGGAGTGTCCTGGTATAAACCTAAATTGGTTTTCAAAAATTGTGACTTCATGTTGCAATCTATATTCAATTATTCTCTCTCAAAATTTCATAATATGACTCATAAGTTTTATTTTTTGATAATTCAAACAATTTTGTATATCACATTTATTCTTGTATAAAGACACTAGAGTATGCTTCCTTCATTCTTCTGGCATCTTTTTACTACTTCAAATTTTATTAAAAGATTTGTCAACCATTCTATCCTTATTTCACCCATACATTTTCAAATTTCAATCGAAATTCCATTTGGTCATACAGTTTTGTTTACTTTCATCCTTTTCAAAACTTCTTTAATCTTATACCTTTTGATATTCGGTTTAAACATATGATTTACATCTTTAAAAAGTATATTAAGCTCACCTATATCATGCTAAAAATGGCCATTAAAGAGATTATCAAAATAATATTCCCATCTCTTTATCATTCACTAAAATTCTTTTATTACCATCTCTTATGCATCTTATACTGTTAAGATCCATACATTTCTTATTCTTCATCTTAGTATAAAAGGTATAAAGTAAAAAAAAATTATATTTGATACACTATTAATATATAAATTTTATACAATTTTACTAAATAGAATAATATCATTTCATTAATTAATAAATATCAATATTTAGAATAAAAATACAAAAAATTAAAAAAAATTACTTATGAATGAAATGATATTATCTAATTTAGATCATTAATAAAAATTTATTTAATTTATTGATAATAGATAATATTTATACACTATTTATATATTGATAATATATTAAATATAAACCTAATAGAAAACCTGGAAATAAGGTGGGTCTGACCAAAACTCCAGAAGAAAAACATCGATAGTGCGGCGTCGTTTAAGAAGTGGACATATCGGAGATGGACGGGTATGAAATAGAAGGCATTGGAGGTGAAAATAAGATAAATTGCATCATAAAATTCCTTGGGTGTTTGGAATTTGATCAATCGGCTGAGAATCGAACCTCGACAGAACAGCCTCTCTCTGCGACCTCAAAGTCGGTGAAGAAGAGAAAGAGAAAAATGGTGAAAGTTGCCACTTACTTCGCTATGACATTAGGCGCCTTCGTTTTCTGGCAATCCATGGAAAAAGTCCACGTCTGGATCGCCCTCCACCAAGACGAGAAGGTCCACGAAACCTCTCTCTCTCTCTCTCTCTCTCTCTCTCTCTCTCTTTTTAATTTCACCTTATTTTGCATATTTCAATTTCATTTCTAGTTTTAAATCCGAATTAGGCCATTGAATTATGCCCACTGAAATGCACTTTTTTTTCATTTCAATTCTTAGTTTAATGTTTTTGATTTTGTTATCTGCATATAGATTAAAAGTTGAAACCCTAGATTGTTTTTTTTTAAAATAATTTTTGTGTTTACAGAAAGAGAGACTGGAGACTGAAGCTCAGATCAGGAAAATGAGGGAAGAGCTGCTTCAGCAAGCCAAGCAGAATGATCGTCTCGCGTAAATTCTGCGTTCAAGTCCTCTTTTACTTGTTATTCTTGCTGTCGCCTTTTTCTTTATTTTTCCCGGAATTTGCTTAATTTAGAGTCAATGGAATTGTGGTCGAAAACCATAATGTTGCCTTTGATGAACTGGATAACCCCATGGACGATTGTTGTTTCCTTCTGCTTTATATAATAAAATCTCTATCTGTTTGAAATTGATGGAATTTTCTATTTCTTTCATGTTTATTTATGCGTGTGACTTTCTCAAGTTCATTCGTCATGATGAAGACATGTGATGGAAATTGATGAATTTCTGACTATTGAATGCATTTCTTTGTAAATTTTATAGGATTTTGACTGCTAATCTCTCTTGTTGTAAGAGTGAGAATATGGGTTCTAGCTTTTCTTTTTTCTTTTTTTCCAGATGAGGGCTAAATGATTTAATCAAAGAGTGATTGGAGGGAGAGAAAAATCATTGTTGTACATTGTTTGTGGAGAAATATGTATTGCCTTACTTGCTGATATTGATAATGCACTCCACCTTTTTCCTGTAACATCACTTGTTAGTCCTTACCTAAAATTAAGTAAGCTGTTTCCATCGGCTACATTTTCTTTTCCATCCTCAACCAAGCAGCATTTGAATATTTAGATTTTAGGACATTCTGTAAAGGAAACATTGCTGTATATGACATGGAGTACTCTTTTTTTTTTTGTGAAACATGTATCAAAGGCTTACCAAATATCGTAAGTCGATCATGACTATATACACAATCACACACACACACACACAAATGCAAACAAAATACTTGGGTTTCTTAATGTTGTCAATTTTGTTGTTATTTCTTAGTGTCAAGCATTAAAGATCAGATCTTACCTGATAACACATATGCATGAGTATTGTGATAACTATTTGCCATCAAGGCATTGAAAATGTTACCCTTTGATGATCTAGCAATCATATTGTTCACCTGACATTTGCTTACTATAAATTCCTTAGCCACACTAACTCTGCTTATTATGAATCATTGATGGGTTATTACATAATTGAGTGTCATTGCTCTTTATTCAAATATTAAGTATCTCAAAACACCCAGACCTATTCTATTTCAAGGCTAACTTTTAAAGTTACTCTTTGATTTTTGCCATTTACCCTTAGTATCTGTTGTGATGTATGTGCAAGTGTGGGTTTTATTATGTATGTGTGCCTCACAAAGCCAACTTTCCCCAAGGCGAGAAGTGAGATTGCTTGGGATATTTAGTTAAGTGGACAATGGTAATATGAAGCACAACATGCTGTTGCTGACTCTGCTGCTTGCTAGTTCAACTTTTTATTCAAGCAATTCATACAAGGAACTCGGGCAGACTGCCGTAGGTATTTTCTGCATGCATGTATTTTGGGCCATTGCAAGGTGGATGTGTTTTGGCCAATGATTGTTCTATTTGTATGTTATACCAATGAAAGCCTTTGAGTTGGAGTTGGCCAGTGTGAATTGTTCACTCCTTAGCCGATCTTTCTTTTCCTCCCAAAAGTATATATGCTTATTTTGCTACCTGGGTTCGAATGAAATGAGATGAGATTAAAAGGAAGTGGCAACTAGAAACTTTTGAAAGTATATGTTTTTTTCTGATGAAAAGAATAGATGGTTTACACATTTCATGCATAATAGCAGTTTTTCTGCCAAAATGTGCTTGTACAAATTCTAAACACGTGTACAAATATCAGATCTCCGGAAGAAAGGACATTGGCAACTTCCAGTACATAATCAATTTGTCTCCTACGAACAAGTTAAACTACTAAGCGTGGGTTAGCATGTAGATTGTTGATATCTATACACAAAACTGTAACAAAATCGCGTCGGAAAATAGGTGCTGAGTTGTTCTCCTAAAGAGCACAACTTTTTGCCTTAATTTCTGGTTAAAGCATTGGTTAAAGCATTGTAAAGTTAAGATGCCAACTCGCTACCTTTATCAGCATAAAGGTATATGCACACATTGCTAGAAAATCGAGGAATTAATTCTCCGATTATAATCGAACATCAAACATCGATTTTTTTTTTGGTTTGCCTTGAATACTTCGTGTTGACACCAGCGACAGGATTTCACCTACAAAATCTGCATCTATGGTATTGAAGTCGACGGATATGGATATATGCAAGTTAATCCTGGTTGTCTTTTCATTATTGACTCTGTTCTCTGGCCTGGCTGAGAGTTTCGATTACCATGAGGGCGACCTGGTTTCCGAGGAGAGCCTGTGGGACTTGTATGAGAGATGGAGGAGCCACCATACGATTTCGCGTGACCTTAAAGAGAAGCAAAAGCGTTTCAATGTGTTCAAAGATAATCTGAAACATATATACAAGGTGAATCAGATGCATAAGCCTTACAAGTTGAAACTGAATAAGTACGCCGATATGACTAACCATGAGTTCATGAGTACAAGGAGCTCAAAGGTCAGCCATTACCGGATGTTCCACGGTCCAAGGCGGATGACTGAGTTCAGGCATGAGAAAACTGACAACCTTCCTCCCTCCATTGATTGGAGGAAGAAAGGAGCGGTTACTGGTATCAAGGAACAAGGCAAATGTGGTAAGCACCCGTTTCTTTTGAAGTTTTCAACCGGCAAGCATCTGTTAATAGATTCAATAGTCAATTTACAAATCAGCATAACTATTATAATTCCAGAATAGATTCACATATTGTGCGGTTCCATCACAATTCAGATATTGCTCTGAAGTTACTCAATATTATTGATGTCACAGGTAGCTGCTGGGCATTTTCAACTGTAGTTGCAGTGGAGGGTATAAACCAAATCAAAACAGGGGAGCTTGTAAATTTATCTGAACAAGAGCTAGTTGATTGTGATAAGGAGAACCATGGTTGTGATGGAGGATTGATGGAACAAGCATTTGAGTTCATCAAGCAAAGTAATGGACTAACAACCGAGAATGACTACCCCTACAAAGCCAAAGATGAGTCCTGTGACTCATCCAAGGTAAAAAAGAAACTCTTCCTTAATTCTGTTTTTATGCAGATATGGAGATTTGAGTATGCTAACACTGATTTTTCAGTTGAACGGTCCTGTGGTGATCATTGATGGCTATGAAATGGTACCAGAAAAAGATGAAAAAGCTCTGATGAAAGCTGTTGCAAACCAACCTGTGTCTATTGCTATAGATGCTGGTGGCAAGGATTTCCAATTCTACTCAGAGGTAATTAAAAGTTTCAAGCCATAAAACTGATAAATAAATGCAGTTGTGATCTTTTAGGCCTGCAAAAGAAAAAAAAAAAAAAGCAAAAGCCGAAGCTGATGCATTGAAAATGTCTAATAATAAGCAATGCTATATATAATCTGCATAACTACAAAATTTGTTACAGGGGGTGTTCACTGGAGACTGTGGCACCGAGCTGAACCATGGGGTGGCAGTGGTAGGATATGGAGCAACCCTGGATGGAACAAGGTACTGGCTAGTGAAGAACTCGTGGGGTGGTGAGTGGGGAGAGAATGGTTACATAAGAATGCAACGAGACATTGATGCTGAAGAGGGGTTGTGTGGTTTAACATTGGAAGCCTCTTACCCTGTGAAGTTGCATTCTAACAACATTAGAAAAGCTTCCTCAAAGGTCAAGGATGAACTCTAATTCAGTTGATCGTTTTGTTGGTCGAGTTTGCGTGTTGAAGTGAGGCAAGTGTTGTGATAGTTGCATAAAATGTCTCGCAATATAGATGTTTCTGCGAGAAGTTGTTTATGTATATACTGTCTGGTTATTCCGAAATGCTTTGGAATGATAATAAAACCTGTTAGATGCCATAAAATTTTAAAGCATTACTTGCTTTTTCTTTACATTGATGGAGATTCGAATTCTAACTTCTTTTTCATAAAAAAAAATTATAAATATTAGAATTTAAATTTCAGATATGTTAGATACTGCTTTTTATAGATGGCTTTGTAAACCAATTAAAAGAAGCTATGATTTCATTGGAATTCAACCCTCACATCACCAGTGCATGAGAAGCGCATTTTTTTTATTGGGAAGAAAATTGTTAACCGCTAATAGGTGTTAGCTAAACTTTAGACCTTACCATGGTCTGAGACTCTTTGTGGCCCGTTAGTCCGTGGCCGTGATTCGATTTGAGTTAAGTTTTGGACAAAATTTTTAAGCTCAGGCCCCATGAGTGGACTTTGGAGTATAGTTTAATTGATATAAAATTATTTTTATTTAAATTAAGTAATAATATTTTTAACGGGTTTAAAATTGATTTTTATGGACAAATTGGATCTTCGATAAGTTTTTTAGTGTCAGTCGATCTTCACCGTAGGTTTTTGTAAGATTCTTTTAAGCAAAATCTTAATTATAAATTTTTTTAATGTCGCCAAAGATATTCATAAATTGGATTGAATTAGATTCAATTGATACTAAAAGTTTGTTAAATGCCAAAGCGACCAATTAAACATCATTTATGCCTATTACTATTAAAAATAAGATTTTGCTAACAAAGAATTCATAGCTTAACAAAGTTAATTTATATAATTATATTTAAAATGTAATATTTAATACATCTAAATTTAAATTTTATCACCTATTAATCTTTTTTTTATTCTTAAGTTGTGGTTTTTTTTATACAAAAAATTCATCCCATATACATTCTTTTATTTTCAGGTTGTAATCTCTTTTCTAAAATAAAAAATTGCCAAGGAGTGTCTTTAAAATACTCTTTAATGTTACTTAATATTCTATCATTAAATGGGGAATGCAGTGAAAGAAAATGTTATTTAATGTAGTATCCTAAGAACATTTATTAGCAAAATCTTTACAAAAATAATAATAAATTAAATTTTATATCTCATAATTCTGAAATTAATTGTATGAAAAGTAAAAAAAATGAATCATATTAAATCGTAATTTTGAATCTTCTCACATTATTCATTTTTATCAATAATAATTTTTTTATATACTTTTTTAATTTTTGTATAATTTTTTGTTAGTTGCATTCACTTCTAGCAAAATCCTTATAATTAATATTTTTTAAAATTAGTAAAAATAATGTATTAAATAAAAAGCGAGGTGAGTGAGAGAGTTAGAGCTAGAGTGAGAAGAGGGAATTGGATTCACAAGGGGCAGCTTCGAGATCAAAGGAGGAGTCAAATTCAGAAATTTCATGAGATCGAACAATGGAAGAAGAAGCTAATAACTATCTTTGTGGACAACATCCATTCATCTGGAAGAGAGAGTGATCGTGGAAGTTAATCATGCAGCATGACAGGGTTCTTTATTTCTATATTCCATTAAACAAGAAGAAAGGAAGGCGTAACAAGTTTGGGTTCTTTCGTTTCAAATATTTACATGAAGCTCTTTCTGTAATAAAGGCATTGGACGGCTCAGTATGGTATGGGTGGAGACTTAAAGTTGGGCTATCCAAATATGAAAAAGGTAGAACAGTCTCAATCAAGAAGGCCACGAGGCAGAAGAGGTATGCAAATGCTAATGGTCCCTAGCTTCTGACAAGTAATGATACGGTAAAACCATCCTATGTAGAAGTAGCAAGGAGTAAACCTACAAAGGTTACAACAAAGGTAAATGTAAGAACAGAAAGTTTGATGGTTCTGAGGAGTTTATGGAGTGGGAAACAGGTGATGATAAACATACACGTCCTCAGATAGTTTTGGAAGAAGATGTCTTAGAGTTAGATTGATTAGAGGCATGTGCGGTGGCGATAGTGAAAAATCCTCAGTCTATTCACATGCTCCAGAACAACATTATCAGTTAAAGTGTTCTACAGTTCTCCATTACGGTTATGGGTGGTAGTATGGTTCTTTTAAGATTCGAATCAAAGGGAGGAAATGGTCGGTATGTTAGATGAAGGAAAAATATGGCTAAGTGAATGGTTTTTCTAGGTTAAACCACGGGGTCAGGAGCTGATAAGTGGAGACAAATTTGTGTGGCTTAAATTGGAGGACATCCCCATTCATGGATGGTGCTATGACCTTTTCAAACAAATTGCAAATCTATGGGGCAGCTTCATTTCCATTGATGACAATACGATGAATAAAAAAAGATTGGATATTGCTAGGTTCTTAACCATAATCAAGAAAGACAATCTTTTTACCTAAAGTAATATGGGTTTCGATCAATGGTAAAATGTATCCTATTAAAGTCTCCATTGAGAAAGACCCATAATTTCTCTGGAACTTTGGAGTGAAATGTATATCAGCTTTTTCACTCCAAAGTTCCAGAGACCCACTCCAAAATGACCAAATCGAGAAGCATTGAAGAGAAGAATAGAGAAACAGAACAACTGGCATTAAAACAAAAAGGTGATTATGGCGCCTCATGGGAACTGGTAGATGCAGCTAGAAATGTTGTTGCTTCGCCGTTGTTATGACAGCTTTAGGGACAACTAGACCAAAAAATTTTAAAGGTTTCAAAACAGTTGCCACAGATTTTTATTTTTAAGTGTCATTAGTAGTGATTGATCGTTTAAAAAAATTATTTTTTTAATAAAATAATAAAATAAATTTAAAATTTGTCCAAAGATAATTTTAGTTTACAAAAAATAAAATTAGATAAAGAATTGGTTACATATAAAAAAAAATTAATAACTCATAGTACTTATTAAATAATGGTATCAATTAATCATATATTATTTTTTCTATTAGTAAAAAAGTTTCAGGTGGTGTAATCTTTGAGTTGGAGAAAATACAATGGTAGTTTCTCGGAGGGATTCTGGTGATAAACGTAAACTTAGACTTGTTGATTAGAGTACTATCTGTAAAACTAAGAAATATGGGGGTTTGGGTATCCCGAACTTGAAACATTCTAATCAGGCTCTGCTTTTGAAATGGTCCTGGAGATTTGGTAGTGTCTCGAGGAAAGTGACATACGACAAATACAGTATTAATGGGAATGATCTGTGGCCTACCCCTTGTCCTCCTCGTTCCCTCTCTCGCATCTGGTCAGACATCCAAAACACTTGATACTCAGGTGATTTCTCTAATACTATAAAATCCAGTTTGTTCTTCTGTACAGGTAATGGAGCTAGAATTCGGTTCTGAAAAACGAATTTAAAAGAATATATGCCTTGACTGTCAACAAAAAAAGGCTTTATTAAAGACTTCAGTGAATAGAATGAGTGGATTTGAAGCTGTAAGATTCTCTTGCGCCGTAATTTGTTTGATTGGGAATATGAAAGCTGGAATAAGCTCATGAGAATTCTAAACTTTGTGTCTCTCTGCCCATCAAATAGCGATAGGATCATTTGGCAGCCTACTGCGAATGTGGTATTCAGCTCCAAATCCTTCAAAGAAGTCCTCGATTCCACTTCAGAATCAGCCTCCGTTTTGGAAAAGTATATCTGGAAGGGGATTGCTCCACCAAAAGTTAAGATCTTCTGCTGGAAATGCTAAGAGGTGGCATCCCTGTTATAAACTCTCTTCATAAAAGAGGTTGGAGAACAAATGTCCATTCCGTGAGGGCCCTGAATCCATTGATCATCTATTCCTGCATTGTCTCTATGCTTGGCAGATTTGTGTAAGTGCTGTTACCAATGGAGTATTAGTTGGGTTGTTCCAGGTTCAATAAAGTCTCTATGTCTTGGCCAAGTCTCATTGCCAGTAGAAATCAGAAGCTAATTTGGGATACTTTGTTTTATGCGGTGATGTGGCCTATTTGATTAGCTCAAAATGAGAAAATATTCAACCAAAAAACTGTTTCACAAGATCATATCCTCAGCTTAATATGGACGAGTCTTGGATGGTGGATGAAGGCGAAATTTCCTGACCTGTATTTCTCTGAATTGAACTTCTAAATAGCATCCAAGACTTATCTATTCCTCTACAGAAGAAAAATGTCAGAAAGAACATGCCCAGGATCCCTCAACCGAAAGGAGTTTGGAAAATTAATGTCGATGACTCTTCCACTCCTAAACCTGGTCCTGCAGGCATTGGAGGCATTATCCGAGATAAAAATGGTGATGTGCTGCTCATGTTTTTAAAGAATATCGACGTCAAAGATTCCAACCTAGAAAAATTTTAGCGGTAATCGAAGCTCTCACAATTGTGGTGAATGCAAACATTGAATTGGTGCCGGAAATAATAATAAAAAGTGATTCGCAAGCTTTCATATCTTGGACAAACAAGGTTAGCACTAATTCCTGAAAATATAATGATCTTCTTGACAAATTGTATAACCTCTACTCTAGAGTGATAAAGTTTTTTTGGTTCACATTTATAGAGAGGCCAATCACTTGACTGATTCATTGGCCAAATTGGGTGTGCACAGAAAGAATGACTTTGTAGCTTGGATGTAGCTGTTTCTATCAATCAAATTAATTTCTTTTACGGTTCAAAAAAATGTATTAAATAAAAATAACTCTAAAATGTGTTTTATTAAAAACAAAAAAAAAAAGAGAGTTTATCGACACGAGTTATCCTGATCCTAATAAAAATACAGCAGCCTAAGCTTTAAGCACATGGAGAACATGGGAATGGCACACCAAGTTAGGGAAGGTGAATGATGAAATCTGAGAAGAGGGAACAAGTTTCATGGGCTAAACAAGGCTTACCACTATCGTTGGGTTCTCTTAGGTAGGCGATCATTTTCTGCACATGGAAGTGCTCTACCTGGTTCTTATTCTCATCATGCCAATAGTGCTAATCCTAAATAACAGTTATGAGTTTCTCTTTAATATGTAGTAGTGGATTCTTTTCTTTGTTTCAAAGTATCTTATATTTATTAGTACTCTCCCAATCCTTTCATGATGCAGTTTGAGGAGTACCGTTACCTGCTAGCAAATCACCATAAGAAAACTTCCCTCTATTCTCAGTCATGGCTTTGTCAACGTTTGCATTGGTCTCCACTCTTCATTGATGAATCCAAATCTTCCAAGCCATCATCAGATCTACCTCTAGTACGCTTCAATTTCATTTTAGTTCTCTTCAAGAAGTCACTTTAGATACTAGGCTTTGGGTTCAGATCGAGGAGAGTTCTCCATGTCATTTTTAACTATTTCACATAACGGGCACCGGCGCATAAGAAGAAACACAACATGAGTTTACTATCATATTTCTCATAAAAGTTTAATGGTTAATCAATTAATAATGCATTAATAGTTATGTGGCGAAGGTTTCATCCATGTGCCATAGCTGTCATTTTTGTAATTAAAAATAGAAATTCAAAAGCATATACATATGCATCAGCATTTGGATAATAGGCTAACAGCAGGAAGTGAACATGCTACAATGCATGCCTACCTAATCAGAGATGTGTCACATTAAGCAAATTAAACCCACCATTGCTGGGAATTCATTAGAAAATGAAACATGCCTTTGTCTATATTTAGTCAGGATTGCATGTTTACAAACCATGCAATTTTAGACCTTTGTATGGAAGTGGATGTTTAAAACCATTTCCTTTTCGTTCTTTTCCTGCATTTATCTGATAACTGGTTAAATATGTTAAGAAAATCATAAACTTGTGAATGGATCGATGAAAATATATATGATAGATAGCTTTGTATAGTATCTCCTGAAACTTTGTGTGGAAACAAGGTAAAGAAAAGATTCTATAACCTCAAGGTTGAGAATGTCGACTAGAGGATCGGCGACTGTGATAGATGCATGTATCTTTGTCCCCAAGGTTTGTCTAGTTGATCAAATTTTATGTGTACTTTTTTATCAGAACATGTTCGAACATGATCGATCTTTTGATACTTCCTTAAGAAAACAGTCTTCATTTCAATGGATAATGTGGTTCATGAATGTCAGAAGAAAATCTACCTTATCCCAACATTAGGATCTAAAGTGTCTATTTTTGTTTACACATATATTGACAAGCTACAATCTTCTGGCGCATAAATTCCTTCCTAGCTTATGCATAGGTTTCCTGTCTGGAAACATGGGCCGGCTAACCACACCATGAAACGGCCTGGAGCCAATGTTGATTGAGCTGGAATAAGGAAATTAAGGATCCCAATTTACATTATCTATGCATTGAATTTGGAAAGTGGGGTGGAATAATCCAGGGTGTTTTGATGAGATTGGGGTGATGAAAGGTGGTGGTTTAGAGGGGGGTTGGGGTTGGAAGGTGTTGTGGAATCATGTGGTTGCATGTGCATTCAGCTGGAGAACATGCCCAAAGCAACTTGGTTATTCCTTATTCATTCATCCCATTCCCTTGGAAGCCTTCCATGAAATTGAACCCTTGTCCCTACCCGTTTTAGCTTTCATTAAATTATTTGAATTATTCTTATTGCCCACCAATATAGTACCCTAAAGAACCATATAAAAGATCTCAAGCCTGCCGTTTGTGCTGTACAAGGTCATTGTCTTGGCAACAAAGGTTTGAAAGGTGTACTTCCAAGTTTCTTGAGAGAAATCAGTCTCTAACACGCAAAGAACTTGAATCATGGGAATTTCTCGACTTCCCCTGCTTTCATTTGATTCGAATGGTGTACAAGGCAATCAGGAAATGTCCAAGTCTAATTGTTCCCTGTGGAACAAACTTTTGGAAGCGCAGGCCAAGCGAAGGTTGAAAGTTCAGAAGCAGAGAATCACTAAGAAAAAGGCAAAGCTTGTTAAGTGCAAAAGGCCCAGAAGTATTTTGATGAAGAGGAGGGCACGTACAGGAGGTTCTAGAAGGGCCGTAAATCCTATTGCAAGGAAGTTAAAAACCCTGAAGAAGTTAGTTCCGAACAACGAGTCGATTGGCTTGGATGGGCTTTTCAGCGAGACAGCTGAATATATATTGTCTTTGCAAATGAGGGTCAAAGTGATGCAGATTGTGGTGAAAGTTTTGACAGGTTCTAATGAGTGAATAGATGATATTCATTTGTAAAGGCTGATACCATGTTCTTATTTTCTCGTGTTTTATGTTGTTTCTTCGTCATAGGAGTCTGTTTTATTATAAATCCAGGCATATGGCTTCATGTTGTTACGATTTAACTATAGATTTGGTGGTTCTATTTGTGTGAACATGACCTTGAAATTGTTATCTGATTTTTTTATCTGAAGTTATCATTTAAATTATGATCATTAAAATTAAAATTTTAATTAAAACAAAACAAGAATTCTTCACCAATTGCAAACCAACTTAATTATGGCTTGTACTTCATTTTTCTGTTGGGGGCAAATTCAAACTCAATTGCCCGGCTAATGAGAAAACCAAAACTAGAAAAATGGAGACAGAAGGAGAGATGGGTACCACAAATGGAAGTAATTTCATCTTTTCATTGGATTCCAAAATAAGTTCTGATAATAACAATAATAATGAGATGGGTCGATAGAAGTGGCCAACCGTGTGGCATTTCATCAACTATAAAGGGGCACTGCATCCGTCGCACACTGTTCATCAGTAAAACACATTCCTATTAGAATTTGCTTTTACTAAAGTAATTCAACAAAACATTAGTTCTTGGTTACTGCAACATTACACTTTGGAAAGGTCAAAGAACCCCCGTTAATGCAACCTTTTGTTAGATTTTAGAGTTATGGGCCTTTTAAACTCGGATCTTTGTCAGTCTTTAATTAATGATCATATATATACAGTACAAACCTGACCACTCATGAGTAAATTCCCGGAGCATCCAATGATAAATCCGAAACATAATTTTAAAATCTTTGGTCTAATGACTAAAGATGTTTAAAAAAAACATCGAAAGTTTGATTTTGAATCAGATTTTTTCTTTCCTTTTATTTATAATAGGTCTTTTCTTTTCTTTTATTTATAATAGAATTTTATTTTTATGATGTAATAAAAAAATATATAATTCTAAAACAATGTTTAAAATTCTTAAATTCTAAAACAATGTCGGTCTTAAACCAATGATAACTCACCTGAATTTTTTAATTTTAAAACAATGTTACATTTGTAAGATTGAAAAAAAAAAAAAACCCATGGCTAGCAATGTACTATATTGTTTGAAATTTTAAAAAGATGATATATGATTTATACAAAAACATAATTTTTTAAATTGTAAGGAAAAATGAAGATTAAAGGTTTAAAGATTTGAATAAGAACCAGGTTTATTTATTAAAACATGTATGGTCAATCTTCATCAAGACAAGATCAATATGGATTGCATGGCTGGAAGCTTATGTGCTTAGGGGGAGAAGCATTTAAAGGATTCCGACTCAGCAAAACAGTAGCTGGAGCTGGAGGAAAATACTCCAGTTACGGAGATTGTCTAAAAATTCATCAAGATGGAAAATGGCCATGAGGTATGATCTTTTCCATGGAATTGCTACTCTGTTACAACAGTTTGGAATGAGATCAAACCTAAACAAGGGAAATTAGGGTGGCACAGATTAATTTGGCTCAAATTCCATATACCAAAGCATTCTCTGATTTCCCGGATGACAATTTTGAATCGGCTCCCAACAAAAAACAGATTGAGAGCTTGAGGTGTGGAGGTTGAAGATAAATGTTGTTTGCGTAAAAATGAGGTTGAATCAAGCGACCATGTATTCTTTTGATGCCATTTCTAGAAGGAAGTGTGGAAAAGGATCCTACTTTTGTTTAGGGTTGACAAGAGATTGGACAGTTGGACAGCAGAACTATGCTGGTAGTGCGTAGATTAAAGGGGAAATCACTGATCTCAACCGTACTAAGGTTGGCCTGTAATGCATGCATTTACTTAGATTTGGAGGGAAAGGAATCACAAGATATTCAAATAAATGGAAAAATCAATAATGCAATTAATTAATCGAATTCAGGACATTGTTAGAATGTGACTACAGGAGATAAGCAAGATTGTCGCAGATCCAGTAAACAAAGTATCGTGTGAATCATGAAAATTAACTGTTGAAATATTAGAATAGGCTGTTGTTGATATATTAGAATTGCATGTACTGTGGCAAAATTCTACTAGATTTGGATAAATAAAAAATTTTTTAATTTTAAGATGATATATGATTTATAAGAAAACATAATTTTTTTTTTAAATTGTAAGGCAAAAATGAAAATTAAAGGTCCATTAGAGTGGACAGTCAAATTAATTTAGTTGAGATTAAAAATAACAGTGATAACAAAATTAGATGAAATTGAATATTAAAACAGTAAAATTAAAATCAATGCTAAATATATATTTTAATGCAAATACAATACTAATGATAGGATTAGAAATGGCAATCGACTACCCCCCTAAAAAATAACCAATTATCATAATTATAAAATATATTCATTTTTATTTTACATTAAAACAATCGACTAATACTATAAGGTGCCATGAACTACTAAATCCTTTCCTTCCACTATTATAAGGTACAATGAACTACTAAATCCTTTTCTCCAAATGAAAGAGTATTGAGGTCAGATGCTACTTAAATGCATCCCAAGATATAATTAATCCAAAAAAAAAGCATTTGAACTTACAAAAAAAGAATGAACCAAGATATAATTAGAATTGCATCGCACCAAACTAACCTTAAAAATATACGAGTCTCGTTCTCTTACTCTTCCAAAAAGTGGCATGATTTGATGAGCAATTATATATGTACCTATTGGCTTAACTAGGGATGACAATGGGTTATTATTGAGATGAATATGATATTTCTTGTATCCATATTTAATTATAATATTTATATTTGTTTATGCATTCGTACCCATCAAGTAATTTCTCAATCTCAACGAGTAATGGATAATCTAAATTTTATCCAAATATTTTATTATAAATTAAAAAAATAAAAAATTATATATCACAAATTTACATTAAACAATTTAATAAAATTCAAAAAAAAATTCATTTGATAAAATAGTATGTAAAATATTTTTTTCTAAATTATATATTATTTTAATTATAAAAAAAGGGAAAATAAAAAATATATATTTATATATATTGGGTATTAGATAACTCACGAAGCAAGTATTATTTTATCTATCTTTATCCTCGTACCCGATGATATTTGAATCCAATTATCATAATCAGGTACAAAATTTTTTTCATAATCGTTCTCGTTCAAGACAAAAAACAAATAATCTATCAAGCACAAGTGAAATTACCATCCCTGTACTTAACTCAGAATTATGCCTTCTTTGACCACCAGAGATTGATCATTTAACCAACAAATTGCATGTTTCTAATTCTTATAAATTCTTTATATACCGTTATTTTCATAGTACCATTTATAGTCCAACTATTTGTCTTAAGTTGAAAAAAAAAACTTATCCAAAGTAAACCATGGGAGATATCTACTTTCTAATTCAACATGTTTTTCCTGTGAGAGACCTAAATTTTATACTGTAGATCAGTTTAACACAGCCAATTACAACCGAAATATGGAGATATGAATCACTTCGACTCTGTGTCTGATGTGATTACAAAGATGGAATAGAAATTTGTCCCGCATGGAATAGGTCAACACAGTTAAAGCTGTTAGTATTCTTTGGGTTCATCACCAAAGCTGATTGCACGGAGTATGGCAGAGAAATACGAGCAACAGGACAAAGACAAAAAAAAAAAAATTTGAAAAGCCCTAATGCCATGGGCCATGGTTGGGCTGACATGGAGATGAATGGCGAATTTCTTTTCTTCTACAGCCACAGCCAGAAACGTTGCCACCTGATCATTTACAGCCCCAATTCACGTGATGATTTGGTCTCTGTCTCTCTTTCTTTCTAACAACGTAAACAATGAGTTGAATTACTACTGTTAATTACTACAATTGAAGTACGTAGATAACCGAGCAAATCTCTTTCAGATGAGTTGATCATAATCTTGCTGGAAGGAAGACAACCGAGAGAACGATTGATCTCACTACCTATATCCACTAAATTTGTTTGCCTCTTTCCTTTTTACCATTTTCTTTTCCTTTCTTCTTAAAAGTTCAAACTCTCTTCTCATTATAGATACGTCATATATTCATTCGTTGGTTGTTGTCATGTAATGAAGAAGAACAACGTACGTACGTACAGCTAGAAAGATAGTATTGGTAAAGCAAGCAACAAACAAACGAGCTGCATGGTAATTAAACCAAGTTAATTACCTTTAACCGCTGCATTAATACATCATAAAAATACGTATACTACTACTATATATAGTAAATAGTTGTGACCTTAGTGATGTTCGAAATAATTGTACTTATTTCATGTGTATATAATTATAAATTAAAATTCTATAAAAATTATATTCAATTTAAAATTTTATAAAATATATAAAATTTTATATCTGATTAACTTATCATAAAAAAAATAATTTAGAAAAATGACATACCTTCACTTTGTACCATCTTCATTTATAATAATATTTATATATCTAAAATTTGTATCAAATAAAAAAATTAAATATTTTTCTTAAAAATATATATTTTATCAAACAATGAATTAAATACTGAAAAATTAGAAGCATAATTAAAAGAACAAAAACGTATATATATATATATATAAATATATATATATTATCAAATGATCAATTAAATAATAAAAAATATAAGCATACTTTCACTTTTGTAATTTTGTTCAAATTACTATACAAAATATGAAAAATGTTAGATGTATGAAAAAAAGAAAAATAAATTAAAAATATAAATTTTCATAAGAAAAAACTTACAATAGTAATAAAATATACTTTGAAAAAAGAAAAATGTGAATAAAAAATATAAAAATAATAGTAATAGAATTTTAAAATTCTACAAATTGAAAAATAAAAAAAAATGATATAACACATTACATTTATAATTTTTAATTTGTAGAATAACTCTTGGATGACATTTAGAATTGAATAGATAATTTTCAAATTGATATTTAAAAAAATTAAAAGCATATAATTGGTGATAAAAAAATTAAATCAAATTTCTTGCCTTTTTTTAAATATAAAATTGATGTTAGAGTTGAGATGGATATAGGTTTTATTATTTAGAGATTTAATATGAAAAGACTATTTGAATTTTTAATATTTTACATAAATTTAAAAAA